TAGTCATCTCTTTATCTTTCTAAAAACAAAATCAATTGAACATAATGTTTTAACTCTGAACTATTAGTTTCCAGGTTATTTTGGCTTTAGAGCCAGTAAATATTTATAGGAGCAAGCCAAAGCAAATGAAACCTTAAGCTCAGTCACTTCCTGTATAAGCTATGAATTTCCTTCGTTTGAAACTTTTCCCTTGTCTTACACCTTCCCATCTCACTGGGACCTAGCAGATCACAGCCAGCTCTGTAGACCAGTAGCCACTCCTGGGTTCGCTGCCCCTCCTTCAACCCATGCACTCGTTACACATGCTGGCTAAACTACAGGCACCACCCAGAAGGACAGCACTCCTTCAAAAACTAAATGTGCTGCCCCCAAGCACATTCCAGGAGCCTCAGCTCCCAGCACTGGTGCTACCATGACAGCACATCATCCTCTTTTCAGGGCCCCAGAACCCAGCAAATCACAATGACTGTGAAAAGGCACTTTAAAAAGTTCAACCAGGAAGAAAAGCCCTATTCTACGACGGAGACACTTGGCAAATTCCATCCAAAAGACCTTCTCTTCCCCCATTATGTGGCATTTGCACTAATATTCTTTAATAAACAATACACTGTAGCCCCAAAACATTATTAAAATGAATTTAAAGCTTCTTCTTATACACATCACATGAACTACTTACCCACAACTGAACTGTTTGTTATCTGTGGTATTTGTTTCACAGAGAAGAAAGATCACTCCAAAGGCCACCAAAAAAGCAAGTTTTTACCAGAATTACTTAAAAGACTGTTGGGAAGGACTAAGTAGATTCAGGTAATTAAATACTGGAGCTTACAACCACATTCCAATAGCTTCTGGAGTACCAAAGGGCGGTTTAATAAGCCAACAGGTAAAACGAAGAGAAGCATGTATATTTCAACAGCTCTATATTGGCGCCCAACTCCCTCTCCCCCAAAGGCGCCCTCCTCTTCTGCTAGCCAATATTCCGATGAGTTCTGTGTTTCTCAGCCCACCCTAGACTTTGCGGCATCAATGAGCCTTGCTTCCTTACACACTGCGCCTTTCCTTTTCATCGGCCTCTTCTCTTCTGCTGAGAAACATGCTCCAAAACCTTCGTCTCCCAGCCTGACACTACACCATCCCCACTCCCTCTGTGCCAGTCACTCCTCAGGCCCCCGCAGTTGGCTATCCAGCTAATCTCCTCTTCTAAGGTGGTTTCTGAGGGCTCACCAAGGACTTGCCATACCCCAGGCCCCCTTTCCTGTCCCTATCCTCATCTTACTTGGCCTCTGGAGCATTCCATAGAACTGACCGCCTCTCCTTTTGGCTTTTGCTTTCTCTCTCCTTCTCTCCTTCTCTGGCTGCCCTTCCAAGTCTCCATTTCCTTGGCTTGCCCCCAAGTAGTGATAAATACATTGAAGACTACAAAGTACTACATAAATGTGTCATTAAAACTCATTGAATTAAAATTTTAAGAACCCAAACCAATACCCTTTAATTGCTCCATATTCCTCTCAAGATAAAGTAGAAACTGGTGGCTTGCAAGGCCTCTCATGGATCACATGGCCCCTTCTCACCTTTATGGTCTATGCTCTCATCCTCCTTCTTCGGCCATAATGGAGGACTCGCTGTCTTCCTCTCACTTCTAACCATGGAACCCGGTGCACAGTAGGTGTTCAACAGTGATAAATGAATTTTATCATCTAACAGGAAATCTGCACAGGGCTCTCCCTTGAGCACAGTTCCATAGGATAAGGCTCAGTGGGCCCTGCATGCCCCATCCTGGGATAGGTTAATCTCCCCCAGCTCCAGCAAGGCTACGGGAATGACCTGTAGTCACAGCTTGTGAGCAGCTCTCCTCCGTGCTGCTTCCCTGGGGCTCCCACAGGTATTATTCCTTGACCTACCACCCACCCCAGATTGCAGAAATTATCTTCTTAATGTCTTTATTTTCACATTACAGTGCTTGGGCATATTATAGGCTCAATAAATCCTTGTTGAATATAGCCCGCAACTTTTTTAACTTTGTGATTTTTCAAGTCCATTAGCAGAGAACAGATGCTAAATAGATAGCAACAGTAGAATAACCTCTAAAAGTCAAGAACAAACAAACAAAACCTAGGTAATATTGAATGGTCTTAAGATTTTGTCAGTGATGGATGGCACGTCTTTGAGAGTGGACTGAATTGTTTTAAAAATAACAACGATATTCAAGGTAAATACAATGAATAATCCAGTTTTTTTAAGGGTAAGAAGGGAGGCCAAAAACAAACAGTAATACAGATAAACACAAAGGAGCACTTAAATAGTTTGCAAAGTGGTTCCACAAGCAATTCCTACTCCCCTTAAAAAAAAAATCCTAACTCCAATTCAAAATCTGGAAACGAGAGCTGGAGGCCCCAGAAAGGAAGAAAAGTAGGGGCGTTTTCAAAGATGTCAATGCAGAGCGGCCGCCGCCTGTAAGGATTTAAAAAAGAAAAGAAGAAGAAGAAAAAAGCCTATTCCGCCCCCACCCACCGCGAGGTAGACATCAGAGGGAAAGCGGCGGCCGCAGTGAACCCTGGGCGCTCGGGACCGCACCCGCCGCCACCTACCACGCGCAAGGCCTCAGCCAGACCAACCTCCAGGGGCGCGCCGGCGTGGCCCCGCCTCCGCCCCACCTCCACCAATAGAGGCCCGGCGGCCCCGCGGCAGCCAATCCGGACGCGGACGGGGAGCCGGGTCAGCGGGCCGCGAGGCGGGGACCCAGAAGGTGGCCTCTGGCATGGCCCACAGGCGCACGGCGGTCCTGGGCCAGCTCGCTAGAGCTCTGATGGCTTCTCAGGCTCGGCGCTATTACCGGGCCTTGCGATCGTCCAAAGCACCGGCCAGGTGCCTCCCACCTCCGTCACTCAGGCATCTACTCAAAGCAACGACCGGTGGCGCACGGACCTCGTAGAGGCCGCGCGGGCACCTTCCCCCGACACGCCCCTCCGTCCCCGGCCCCGGCAGTTCTGCCGTGCTCCACCCGGACGCTATCCGGCAGTGGGACCTCCGCTCGCCTGTCCCAAGGGTTGGTCTACGGCTCCCCTCTTCCCTGCCCCCGCCCCTTTTAAATTCCCGTAGTCAAACTCCCTCTCTCCCGCCACATCCCAACCCTCCGCGCAGCCGGGGCGCAGAAAAGGTCCCCCGAGCGTCGCTGACCCACAGCAACCACCCGAATCCCCCTTTCCGGGCCGCAACGCCCGACTTCTCCTCCCGGCAGTTTGCTCACCATGAGCGTCTCCACCGTGTCTCCGACATCTTGGGGCTGCAGCAGCGCGGGGCGTGACTCCTGAATCATTGGAGAGGAGGCCCGAGAGCGCGCTCGGCCCAGGGTGCTGTCGGTGGGCGCTCAGGCCCGGCCCTGGCGACCCAGGAGGAGAGGCGGAGGGATGGCCGTAGCCGGGAGACGCGTTTAAACCGGGGGCTCTGTGGCGTCGGCGCCCGCAGGCACCCGGCGGCCGGGGATCCAGCCCCGCGCACCACGGCCCGCGCGTTGCTCCCGGCGTCTACCGATCCTTTTCGGGACTACTCGCCGCTCTTCACCCGCGCCGCAGACCCCGCGGCTCCGCTCCTCATCCCGCCCCGCCGCACACTCCGGCACCTGAGGAGCAAGGTTCTGTGTCTCCTGGGACGGAGAAAGCTGGAGCAGCTGGATAGAAGGGGGACTTGGCTTCCGGGGAAGGACGCTCGTCACGCGCCTGGTTTGGATGTTCTTCGTACCCCCTGGCGGAAACGCCCAGAACTTCAGGGTCTGCGGTTCCTTGCGCCCGGAGCGCAACGGGGCGTCCGCCTGGGTGGGACATCTGAACGTATTTGCAGTGGAGACCCGCTGTGCCCAGTACGGCGGCCACTCGCCATCTGTGGCTACTGAGCACCTCAAGTGTGGCTGGTGGAATGAAGAACTGAATTTTAAATTTTATTTAAATGTAATTCATTTACATTGAAAACTGAAGCAGTGTGGAATGTTTTCTTGTTAAACACAATTTTATTGATTTGGCAGGACTACTGTATGTGTAAACCACACCACGGGATATCTAAGACATAAAACAGAAGATCTCATTAATACTTTTTATATTATTACATGTTGAAATGATATTTGGGATATATTGGGTTGGGTGAAATATATAATTAATTTTATGTTTCCGTGGAAAAGTACTACTGCTGGGATCCTGACAGTCCTGTTGAAAAACGCAGGCACACGCTATCAGTGGCACTGGTTATCTGCAGAATAAAGTCCAAGCTTATTGTAACTACAGCCTTCACTACCCTACACCATCCATTCTTCACCTAGGAAATCAAGGCCAGAAGAGAAACTGATTATTTAGGGAGCAAGATGCTATTTTTTAAGGCTTCATTCCTGTGCTGCCGAATCACATAGAATAGGCAAGGAGGTGGGCCCTTTATCCCCAGGGGGATTAAGGAATGCATAAACACTTAAAAATATGAACCTACCTGGTGATTGAATGCTTTGCTTTGCTTCCCCTTGTTCTGAGCTATAGGGCTCATTTTCTTTGTGCAACGTTGATGACTAAGCTGAAAATTTAGGAAGACCTAATTCTCCCTCCCATAAGCAAGAATTCCTAGTTTTGAGAAATCGTGGGTTGGCCTATCGGGGGCTGCTTTTGGCCACTCGAGGGGTGGAAGCAGAGATGGAACCTAGAGTGAAAGCCTGCTCCTACTCGCAGGTACACCTGTTTGGCTCTGGGCTCAAGAAACGGGCTGGCTTTCAAGAGCAGCTGCGGCTGGGCTTCTGTCTCCATATCCCTTCCTGACACATTCACAACCCTGGAGCCCACAGACCTTTTTCTCTCCCCCTTTTCCCCCCTAGATGTTCGTGGTGGTGCAGAGATATATAATGATCATGTGAGAGGAGCATTACTCATCAGCTTATGAGCCGTTTTTGTGGGGGGGGGGTTGGTTTTTGGGGGGGTGGGTTTTGGCGGCTGGCCAATACAAAAATCAAACCCTGGGGTTTTGGAGCAGTACTTACTTAATGGCAGGGCTTAGAGGAGTGAATTTTTAAAATGAAAGAAAAAATATCTGGTGAAAACATTATGTATGACTTTAATTCAGAACAGAGTCATTAACATCAAGCAAGCCTTCTCTAATTTATCTACAGTCAGTGGAAGGTGATTTGGCTGCTATGACCTAATCCTCTCCCCCCATCCCAACCCCACCTCCACAAATTACAGGTTGAGTCCCTCAAAGACCTAATGCAGCCTTCGTTTTCTGGATTGGATGTTCAGGTCACATGATGCTTTCCCATCCCAAGGATTGCAGACATTCTCTATCCAGGAAGAAATGCACATATATCAATTTGGATAAACAACTTCCTCTTAAAACTTTATTCACAGCAAGCTTTGATGCTTAGAGGCATTTCCAACATCCAAGAAGGAAAGGGCTAAAGTACTGGTACAGAGGCCAAAGGTGAATGAAAGAGAAGGAATCTGCTCCAATGGAGGCTTTGGTTTCCTGTTGCTTCGCCCAGCAGGGCCGGAAGAGATGAGCCTTGCAGTGCCTTGGATCCGTGTCACTTCATTTGGAAGAAGATGGCTGGAGTGGTGAAGAGCACACAGGTGAATCACTCTCCATGCTTTCAGGAACATCGACTCAGCCAGATCTTTCTGCCTGCCTGGAGCCAGAGCTGCTTCTGTAAATATCTAAATTCCCTTTTCTACAGATGCCAAAGTAATGAGCCCACATTTAGCTTTTGGAAACTAGTTGGAGGTTGGGAGGGGAGATACCATGCGCACTCTGCTGCCACCACCCACCCACTCTGCCCATCTTCATAAGCCCTTCTGTGCCTAGTGGTCTCTACATTTGAACGTCCCCTCCCACCCCGAACACACACAGTCTGAAAGAGCAGCCTAATAGTCCCCAAGGGCACTGCCTTCAGCAGTGGGGGAAGCCACTCTCTGAGCCTGATCACACAGATGGGCATAAACAGCAGAGAAGAGAAAGAGAACTCTAATGACTTTACCAGAAGCTTCAGCAAAGAGGGTGGTCCTGTCACTGCTTTGGGCTTCACAAAAGAGGAACACCTTTCTTCCTTCTGCGCCAGTGACCTTTGCCTCTAGCCTCACCACTGAGCCGAGGATAACCGGGCTATGAGAGAGCAGTGAGTTAGAGCCGCTTGTGGGCTGGGCTCTGAGGGAGGCGGTAATGACTCTGCAGGTGGCCTGTGTCCCTGCCAGAGCGGGGGTCCTCAGTTTCAACTCCAAGGGCCCAGTTATGGGGGGCAATGAAGGAAAGATGAGCTATAAGGCAAGACCACATGATGTGGCGATTTGTTTCGTCATCATATGAAAGCCACAAATCACTCCATCAACATTTTCACAAACCAATCAGCTCCCCATCTTCTGGAAAGAACACACTCCTCTTGTTTTCCTCCTGTCTTCCCAATGAGGAAACACACATAACTTTTGGCTAAAAGTTTATAAACATAAGCACATACTTTCTGGTCACAGTTCTCCCCGGTCCTGACTGGTCTGAATCGTCCACAGGGGTGAGCAGGCCCCACTCGCAGTTTGACTAACATCAAGTAGCTCCTCCACCCATGTGTGGAAGGTTTTTTGCAGAATGGCTCCATCTATTTATCAGCAAGCATCCCGGTGTGATGGTCAGTTTTATGTCAAATCAACCAGGCTATAGTACCCAGTTTTTCAATTAAGCACCAATCTAGGTGTTGCTGTGAAGGTATTTGTAGATGTCGTTAACATCTACAGTCAGTTGACTTTAAGTGAAGGAGACTACCTTTAGTAATCTGGATGGGCCTCATCCAATCAGTTAAAAGGACTTAAGAACAAAATTGAGGCTTTCCCGAGGAAGAAGAAATTCTGCCTCAAGACTGCAGCATCAGCCCCTGCAGAAGAGTTTTCAACCTAATGGTCAAGAGATTCATCCTGATATCATATATATACCCCTGACTTAAATACCTTGTTTCCTGTCTTTGGAACATCCTGCTCATCCTTGTCTGTCCTCGAGAGACTGAGGGAGAGTTGCATTGTACAAAGAAAGTTGACTTTGGAATCAGGCAGTGATTCCTGCATTAATCCTGGCTTTGTCACCTGCTAGCCGTGTATTCACCTCAGCTTCCTTATCTGTGAACTTGGAGATAATATTACCCACCTCCCAGGATTATTGTAAAGATCAAATGAAATGATGTGTATGGAAGTATTTCTTAAAGGCTAATCAAATGCAAGGAATTATCATTATAGTAAGGGCTCAGTAATTATTTGTGGACTGAGTTAAATATTTACAGGCAACTTGGCTGGCTTTCTCTAAACCAGAGGTGGCCAAAAATAGCTCATTATCATTCTATGCAGAATATTTCTATGTCTGAACACGTAAGCCATCTATAAGCTGTGACCTTGTCCTTAGATGAAAAAGGAACATCTGAAAAGTTTAGATGGGTCCATGTGAAAATCAAAAGTAGAAACTCCTCTTTGCAGTCAGGCTTGCTGTATGAACCCGTATTTTCCATCATAACACATGGAATAATCTCATACCAGCTTACTCCTAACTTGAACCCATGCAAGGAAACAGACCTTTTGAAGGTGATGGTCATTGTCCCTGTAAAGACTGCATTGGCGCTGTTATATGCCGTCATGAAAAGTGTGGTGTCTATCATGGTCCCCAGTGCACCACCATGGACAATCCTGCAAAGTCAGATGAGGGGAGAGAGGGAAAGAAATAGTCACTCCACTGCACATGGCCAGGCACTAGTGAGGTGAAATGCAGAATGGGTCCTGCAAACCAGGACCAGAGTCTTGCATCACTCAGGGTAGGGCCAAGAAGTGAGAGCAAAACAAATGCAAGGGGAAGACAAGCGAAGTCATCTAAAGCAAATTGTACCTGCTCAGAAAGGGGAAGTCACTCAAAGTGGCAGAAGCAGCCCTCCACCCCACCACCAGCCTCAACCTCAAATTCTGATGGCTCTTGTGCTCCTTCCTGGGTTAGACTCAGGTGGGAATAGAATGGTACAGTGAAAACAGAAAAACCTAACTCTGAATCCCACATTTCTAGTCATCTGACCTCTGTCACATAACCACTTGGGGCACCTGTTTCTTCATCTATAAAACAGGATAAAGTAATATCTCCTCTAAGACTTTTTGTGAGCATTCAATTTACATAGCCAAAGCTCACACAGGGTCTGGTATATACCAGCCAGGGAACAAAGATAGTTTTTTTCCCCCTTCTCATTTTTAATGTCCACTGTGTAGTTCCCTGCAGGTTAGGGGGCTGAAGATCAATGATGAAGAATTTCCTAACAGAAAGAGGCCATGCCTTGGATGGGTGACTCCTTGTCCAGGGAGAAAGTAGAATGAGGCATTTGCTCCTCTGCACTTCAGTAGCCAAGAACCTGCGGAAGGCAGCCACAGACCTACCATCTGGCCTCTCACCCCACTCCCTGCACTCTGGCCATGGAAAAGCCCACTTGAGCTGCTGGCCGGGATTGCCCTCCATTCCTTACCCAGGCAGCCCCTCCAGGAGGGGCCCAGGCTGGAACAAGCAGACACACTTCTTCTCTGAGTCATTGTGGAAGATGACATACTCAAAGCCAAGTCTCTCCATTTCTGCAATTCTGAGAAAGAGGCGGGCGTCTTCTATCATTTGGACTAGAGAGAAGAGTTGAATCTGTGAGGGGGACCTCAGGCTGGAGTCTGACCCTCGGCGTGGTGCAGAACTCCAGGGCAGATAGCGCCTGACCAGAGGAGGTCCTCCGGAGACCCCACTGCCCGCAATATTCCCTCTGTACCTCCTGAAATGGCCCCAAAACCCTCTGAAGGAGAAGAGCAGTTTCCAGGGAGGGGAAAAGATTATCAGTGGGTGGGTCAAGGAGTAGGAATGAACCAGCAACAAAAGCAGGATACCGGGGCCGGCCTGGTGGCGCACTGGATAGTGCGCCGCTTGGGAAGCGCTGCGGCGCTCCCGTCCGAGGGTTCGGATCTCACATACAGACCGGCTCCCGCTCACTGGCTGAGCGAGGCGCGGGAGCAACACCGAGGGTTGCAATCCCGTTGCCGGTCCCCGGTCCGGTACGGGGGCAACACTGAGGGTTGCGATCCGTTGCCGGACACGGAAAAAAGACAAAAGACAAAAAAAAAAAAAAGCAGGATACCGCTGTTTCTGTCAACTGAGTAAGAAATACTCATCTGAAATGCACTGATTTCAGCAGATCAAGGAATAAGCAGGAGAAAACCCTTTCTGTACGATAAATAAATGTGTCTTCTCTAACTCATATGTTGGGATTTAAGTGAGATTTGTCTGTACAGTATGACCTCTGATGGCGTTTGGATGTGTTGTCCCCTCCAAAACTCATGTGGAAATTTGATCCCCAATGTGGCAGTGTTGGAAACTGAGTCGTGGGGGCAGATCCCTCATGAATGGATTAATGCTCTCCCTAGGGGAGGGGGGTAGTAAGTGAGTTCTCGCTCTATTAGTTCCAGCAAGAGCTGATTGTTTAAAGGACACTGGCACCTTCTTTCTCTCTCTCACTCTCTCTCTCTCTCCCTCCCACTCTATCTCTCTCTCTCTCTCCCCCTCCTCCCGTCCTCTCGCCATGTGATCTGCTCATACCCACTGGCTACCTGCCACTTTCCACCATGAGTAGAAGCAGCCTGAGGCCTGTGCCAGAGGCAGCTGTCCCAGAATTGTAAGCCAAATGAACCTCCTTTCTTTCTCTTTTCTTTGTAAATTACCCAGTCTCAGGTATTCTGTTATAGCAACACAAAATAGACTAAAACAACCTCCAAGGGAGATGGGGAGGGTTTATGGGCCTTAATTAGAAGTCATGGGTGAAGCCTCCAATATATAAAACCTAAATACTTATCAAACATCTGGATTTCTGCCAAGAATCTCAAAGCAGAATTTCTAGTGACAGATCGGGTATGTGAAGTTAGAAGTCTTCTAGCTGGCCCCTCTTGTCTCTTACATGCCATATCCCATCTTCTGCCACCCATTCTCCTCACCCATTCAGAAGCTCAGCTCAAAGTGACCACTAGAGGGAACGAGTGTCCTGTGCCCATCAGGTTCTGGCTCCTGGCCTCAAGTGTCCTGAGATAACTAATGATCCCCCTGGCCATGGGTACACCAGGTGAAGGCACTGACCATTAATCCTGGACTTCCTCTCCCTAATTTCTCACTCATACTGAACCTGTCTGGTTTACACAAGAGACCAGGTGGGGTGTGCAGGTGTAAACAGATGCCAGGAGTGGAGAGGGCACTGAACCAAGAGCCACAAGTTCCTGATGCTAGTCCAGTCTCTGCCGAAAACTCACTGTGTCTTCTCTAGGCCTCAGTTTTCTCACTTCTAACATGAAGGGGTTGAACTAAGTTGCCTCCAAGTGCCTTTTCTGGTCTAATATCATGTGAATTCGTGTTCACTGTGAACAGACTGCCTTGGCCCTGACTCTCAGTCTAATGCAAGCCACACAGGTGAGGTGGGAGGTGGGCTGGGGCACAGATTTCCTTAAGGAAAGTGTACATCCATAAGCAGAGTTTTGCCAACAGTTATGAAGTATTGAGAGTTCCCCTTGAGCCCAGGTTAAGCCCTCCTGGTGTAGGGGGTTTGCACATACCAGGGACGGCTTTAGCAATCCTAGCAAGGTCTTTTTCTTTAAGGAATTGCACAGAGCGCCAACAGCCTGGAAGTCTCGTCCATGACCCATCCACAGTCTTCTCCATGAACTCATTATACAGCCCCACCATGACAGGGCTCCAGCTGGCATTAGGGAGGGAATAATCCTTTATGTCAGACTGGAGATGGTTGCTGCTTGAGACCTGAAAATCCAAAAGATGTGGTGGACTTTGCCTAGTACAATTCCAATTTGACTCATTCATTCAAGCATTTATTTAATAGAGGGGCCTATTTTCACCCAGAGCATGTACAAATGCCCAGAGATGAGAGAGAGCATTTCTCAGATTCTCAGAACTTATCAAGTAATGGGAGAGAAGGAATGTCAAGGAAGGGGGCCAAAGAGAAAGCCTGGGGCCCAATTAGCCATATTAAAGAATTTAGGCTTTATCCTGAAGATTTTTAAGCAAGAGAACAAAAGGGTGAGATTTGCGTGTTAGAAGAATCCTATTTACACAGGAGAACTTGCAAACTGGTCAAGCCTCAATGACACTGGGGAGTCTGGCTGCTTTACAATTCACAGTCATTTCCCAGCTCTTTACTCTCAGATTCCAACTTCTCCATACCCGCCTCTCCTGCTCCCCAAGTCCTCCAAGCTCTGCTTTCAAGACAGTTCACCTTGTTTACTATTTAATTATATCTCCCTACTGTCCCATTACAATTGAAAAACTCAGTCAAAGACTCTTCTGGCAGACAGAGGAGAGTCCAGGCAGCCAGGCCTCCTCCCAGGAATTTTGATAATCCATCATCTTCTCGTACCTTCTTATCTGGTTATTGTTTGGATTCACTGGTGCAGATCAGTCCTTCCTGTTCTTGGTACAGTTTCTACTTTTTCTGGTACATTTATCTGGCTTACTCAGTTCCCTGTATATGCCCTTCCCTAACTAAACAGGTGAGAAAAATACAGATTCTTAAATTATTTATAAACAGGATCTTAAAGGGGGAGGGGAGCCTCACGCCCAGGAATGATGACAGTCATTACTACCCTTCTGCAGGGTTTTGTTTTTGTTTTTGTTTTTTGTTTTGTGAGCTAGTTGATGGTAGAGAGGCATTTGAATTCAGTCTTCAAAACTTGTTCCAATTAATACACTGCACTTACTGCTGCTTGTAGTTTAACCACTCCAAGCATCAGTTTTCAAATCTGTAAAATGAGAATAACACCACCTACCCTGCAGCTTGCCATGAGGACTGCATGAGATGATGATATGTGAACATACCTGGCTCAGTACCTGGCCAGAGCAAGCATTCCAAGAAGTTAGTTTCATCTAAATCCAACAGGAAAAATCCCTCCTTCTATAGCATGATCCTAAAGAATTCTTTCCTAGCACTGATCATATTAAACAAAGCCTGGACTCAAGTCTATTTGGAAGGAAGTTACTCATGAAAATATCCAATTGATGCTACTTATTAGCACTTAATTTGCACACAACTAAATTTTAATTTTGCCTACTATTTTTTCTCTTTTTTTATGTCCAAAAAATAACTCATTAAAATGTAATTACTGCTTTCTCTCCAGCCGCCACAGCTCAGATTTTCTTTCCTAGACTCTGCTCACTTTGGGAATTGCCAACCCAACTTTCCCATATGAAAAAGGTTGACAGAAACTAGAATCAATAAGAGTGGATATTAAAATGTAATTACTGCTTTCTCTCCAGCCGCCACAGCTCAGATTTTCTTTCCTAGACTCTGCTCACTTTGGGGATTGCCAACCCAACTTTCCCATATGAAAAAGGTTGACAGAAACTAGAATCAATAAGAGTGGAGGGGTCTCCAGATACTCTCTCTAAGCCCCGGCATCCTCATTTGAGAGCCCCACCCTTCAACAGAGGATAGTAGAACCACATGGAATGAGCACCTTCCAAGAATCAGGAGTCCTGGCCCTAAGTCCCCATTCTGCCAATAACTGCTGTGGCCTTGGACAGGGCGCCTTGTATCTCCAGGCCTCAGTTTCCTCATCTGTCAAAGGAGAGCAGCAGACCAGTTGATACTGAGGACCTCTTTCAGCTCTCTCATTCTGGGACTCTATGCCCGGCCTAGCCAAACAGGGAGGATACTCACAGTGACAGGCTGGGATGGCATCCAGGCTGGCCTGGGTGGTTGGTACTGGCCAGCCAGGGCTCGGAGAAGGGGTGCTGCATGTCGGTGCCCCAGCAGCCACCTGAAACCTCTCTGCAGCATGACGTGCAGCTGAGATCTGCCAGCTGAACCTCCTCACAAAGGCTAGCCTTTCTCCTAGTAGGTGAGCATTGGCCTGAGGCTCTGCCCCCTAAGGGGCAGAGAGAGGACTGCAGCAAAGCCACTACCTCTTCTCTCACCAGGCAAAACAATGAAGAGCAGAACTAGAAGGGACATTGAGCAATTGTGATTTATATGTTACAAATGCATTCAATTTTTGGAGATACCAGAGAGATTTTTGCTTTTTTAACTAGGTGACTGGAACAATTGGATCAATCTTAGAATGTTTTGCAGACTGAAGGTCACTGGGGTAACCAACAATGACTAGGAACTAGAGAAAAACACCCTTAGTCCCTGCCTGTGAGGACAAATGGCTCTGAACACCTCACCCTTGTTCTTAACTCTGTCTTGTTGCAGGGGCACAGTTCATCATTCATTCAACAAATATTAATTAAGCACATATTATGTGTCAGGGGCTGTTCCAGTCTCTGGGGTTATAGCAGTGAACAAAACAGATGGGTCTTATATCCCATAGGTAATGACAGGTAACACTAATTGTTGTGTTTTCTATATCCCAAGGACTGTTCTAAGTATTTGTCTGTTTTATCTCTTTTAATATTTATGTAATCTCATATGTAGTCCAAATTCAAATTTTACCAATTGTCCCAAAACTATCCTTCATAGCATTTTCTCCCCAATTCAGAACTAATTTAGGATCACATATTTATTTCCATGAGTTCTCGTGTCTCTTTCGTCTCCTTTAACCTGGAAGAGTTCTCCATCCTTTCCTTGACAAACATATTCTTAACATACCACACACATAAACACAGCTACATACAGGAAAGAGCTCCATTCTTTCTATCCTACCGTAGGTGACTAGTGGTACGGCTTGTCAGTGAGTGAGAAGTGGCATTAGAACACAACTTCATAACCCTGCGCAACCCTCTCGCGTAAACCAGAAGTGGCATTATTATTATCCTCATTTTACACGTAAGGAAACTGAAGCAAAGAACAGGTAAAATGAGTTGCCCGAAGTTACACAGCTAGTAAAAGGCTATATGGCATTTACTTTTATTATATTAATAATAAACTTTTATATCTGCACAAAGGGGGTTTCTCGTTACAGATTGGACACCAGGCGGTTCTATGGAACAGGCAGGACACATGCCATCTCTATCACCATCTTCACCAGCCCTGTCAAACCAGTGATCACCCTGAAGCTCAGAGAGGTTAGTTCAGGCCAGCTTGTAAGTGAAGGAGCAGGGCCTAGGACAAGTCTTCTCATGTATCCCTTACAATGTCCCCTCAGGAAAGCTTGGCGTCCTGCTTCACAAGGGTTTGTGTAGTGGATTGAATTATGTCCCCCCAAAGACTCACTGAAGCTTGAATTGTGTCCCCCAAGTTTCATATATTAGAAACTTAATCCCCACTGTAATTGTTGAGGGTGGGAAATCCTATTATGGTAATTGAAATGTGGTGCCTTGAAGGGTGATTAGATTGCAGGACCATGCCTTAGTTAATGGATTAAAAATAATGGTCATGGGTGTGGTTTGGAGGGCTTTAAAAGGACAGTGCTTGAGGAAGTTGTTCTCTTGCACTCTCTCTCTGCTCTCTCTGTATCCACCATCTTGCAATGTGAGACCCCTGAGTCACTGTTGCCACCACCAGATGTGTTACCTGGGCTTTGGACTTCCCAGCCTCAGAAACTGTAAGCAATAAATTTTGTTTTCTTTATAAATCACCCAGTTTCAAGTATTAAGCAAGAGAAACAGACTAACACAGTTGGCTATTCCAAATGGTCTTTGCTAGGGTCAGAGAGAGAAGAACCCTGACAGCAACAGTCTGGCAGAAGGTAGAGAGGCCCCCTGCCCCACTCACACCATCCACAGAGCTGGTCCAGTCCTGCTGTGTCTGGCATGGTGGCCCCTCCCATGTGGCTGGCTGCACTTGCAGCCGCGTCCTCCAGAGCATGGGTTGCTCTACCCCAGGCGGTGAGGCAGCCAAGATGGGGCATGTGTGAGCACACAGTAGGCTTGCCAGCCAATGCAGGAGGTGGGGTAAGAAGAGGCCACAGCTTTGGAGACATCCTGCTCTGAGATTCCAGTTTAGCAGCCCCTTGGGTTAACGATAATCATCTTGAAAGACTCTTTCAAGATTAAGTGAGAAAGTTCTGGGTAAGCTCTGAGTAGGTACCTAAAGTGAGTAGGTACCTAAAAATGTGAGTGTACCTTGTCCCTTTCCCCATATCCCTCCTGCTCTCATCACTTCAACTCAGTACATATTGAGTGCCTCACTGTGCCAGTATGAAAAATATAATAGTTGAAAAAAAGAGCAATATATATATGATACATGGAGGATATCTAAACCCTAAATTTGTAAAGCTGGCTTTTATTGCTATATCATTACCAGGATTCCAAGAGGCCCTGAGCAGTTTCTGCCTCAGGGGCCCAGGGACTAAACAATGTGCACTTCAGGCAACAAACAAATTCTTGTTATAAATGATTGGCATTGTTAAGCGATTTACCCATATAACCTCCTAAACACACTTATGCACATAAATAATAGAATAGAATGTTATCTGTTCTAAACTAAATAAATGTATTTTGAAAAATCCGTGCTAACTGTTCAAGTTCACTGCCAGTCTGAATTTTGGTTTAGTTTTCTTTGGTGGCTCCAGCAGCTTTGACAGAAAGTGAAGCCATCTGAAAACTGTTTCAGCCATTGGAAAGTACCGGGGTACTAGATGATCATACCCAAGGTTCAGGTGACTTGAGCCACACAGGTCTGCCACCCCTTCCAAAAGAGCCATGGTTGAAGCAGGTAGGCTTAGGGGGTAAGGTGGGCAAATTCATTCAGGTAGGACCTCCATCTGGTTTCAACCAAATTAAAGAGTAAGGTGGCAGGAATATGAGAGGAAAGGGAGGTGACAGGATTTAGAGCCCTTAAAAATCTTAATTCAGTCTTGGGTCCTCTTCCACATCCCACAGGATTGCATCACATGCTGGTGTATGGGAATTGGTGTCCCACTGGCTTCAGAACCCAAGATCTTCTGTCTTCCCTAGTTATTTCTTTCCCCAGCAGAGGGTGCTCTCATTTCTTAAAGAGTAGTATGAAACAAAACTCAGGATTTTCAGGTTCTTTCTGTGTTTCTGCTGTGCAACATGTTACCCTCCCTCACCAGACAAAGGGTGAATTTCACTTTATGTAAATTATACTCAATAAAAAAATGTAACCCTCCTCCAAAAAAAAAAAGAAGAGAAAAAGAAAAAAAACCTAAAACAATTTTTGAACATGGCCTGCAATGTGGCCTACAAAACCATCAAAGCTGGACATGTACTGCTCCTTCTCATCTTACCCCACTCTTCCCATTACTGTGGCATTCCAGCCGATCTGGGCTTTCTTGAACTTTGGAAGATAAATCTCCATTACGTATTTAAATATTTCTTTCCCTCAATTTTTATGTCTCCTTTTGTTTGTCTCTTTCTTTCCCCTGGACTCTAGTTATCTGGGTGTTAGCACTTTTACTTCTCTTAGTCACATCTTGTAGTTTTATTTTATATTTTCTATAAAATCTAGAGTTCCTCAATCTATTCTTGCAATTTTATGATTCATTTTTCAGCTGTATTTTATCTTTATAGGCTTTAAAATTTTCTGATACAGAATGGCTAGGCCTGTAGAAGCATCCAGCATTCCCCTACCCCAGACCTTGTGGCTTTGTATTTGAACCTGGTCACTGTTTATTTTGAGCCTACAGCATATCAAAATTTCATTCATATAAATTCTTTTTATAGTGAATACCTAGGACAGTCTTAGCAAACTTTCTAAAAATTTTAGTGCTATCTAGAGACAATCAGTGACCCCAAGACACTGCCAGATTCTTAAGTATCTTTGGGATCATCAAAAGACAGGTTAAATAATGTGAAGTCTTGATCTGGAGTTCAGAATATATCAAATCCATTGAAAAGTCTGTGCTGTATATGGCTATGCTGCTGAACTAAAGAGCTCATTCTCCAGTTACTCTTGATAAGAGAGAGTTTACATATTATTGTAAGAAAGGAAAGAGGGCAGATATATACATAGGGCAGACATATAGATAAGGGCTGCCCAGGAATCATTCTATCTAGGTGAATTGGCCCAGGGAAGAGACAGGGTGCCTCTTCATTACCAAGAGGTGAATGTAATTTGCAGGTTGAACACTGTAATCAAAAACAAATGATTCTGCTTTACAAATTAAACCATGCTACAGACACACACACACACACACACACACACACACACACACACACACACACACACACACCAATCTTCTCATTCTGAGGATCGCTTGTTCGCTTCCTGAATGGTGTCTGTGGGAGGCTGGGTTTGCAGATTCTGAGATGGAGACTAGTGTGCAGGAAGTCTACTAGAAAATGCTTTTGGTATTGACACCTGGGGAAGGGAAGGAAGAGAAGGAAGCAGGATTGCACAGAGGAACAAGTTGCACTGTGGTCTCAACAGAAACTTCAGCCCACTCTGTCTTTCAAAGCAATCCCAAGTTGGAATGAGGAGCCAGGGCTTTATACTTTCATGTTGATTGATCATGGGATGCAGGCCACCCTGTGAAGGGGGTAGATGAAGTAACCCCCAAAGGGTCTGAGAGTTGAGCATTGTCTGCTGGTGGCTTTCCCAGCAGCTGGAGTAATAAGTACTTTACTCCTGAAGGAGAGTCTGGTGGAACATTGTAGCATCTACCACTTTATTTTTTGATTAACAGAAGTTCTTAATTTCAATGCAGTCAAATTTTGTTTATGGCTATTGGTTTGTTTGTTTGTTTTATTTTTCTCTCAGTGTTAGCTTTTATTGTTATTATATATATATTTTTTTTAGTGACTTAAAGAAACACACATTTATTATCTTACAGTTCTGGAGGTCAGAGGTACAAAATGGATCTCCCCAGGCTAAAATCAAGTTGTCATGAGGGCTACATTCCTTCTGGAAGCTACAGGGGAGAATCCA